GTCCTTCATTTCAAAATTCCCGAAACGATCAACAGTTGGTTCCATGGAGAACGTCGTGCCCTTTCACTCTTCATATGCCTGGACGTTTCAGGTACTTTGCGCGGAAAAAGTGAATAGTATTTTTGTTCACCATCGTGACATTTTGACTGATATTACGATTAACATTTTGTAGGCTCTATGCGTGGTTCGATAGAACAGGCCAAAGAAGTTATATTAAAGATCATGGGTGAACTATTGCAAAATGGCATTCTTGTCGAAGCAGACATTACGTGCTTTTTCTATAGTTCTTCATGCGATGAAGTAAAATTCGGTGATAATCCAAATATGCTTTGGGACAATGGTGAAATAAAGAATTACTTCAATGGCGTGAGGGCAGGCGGAGGTATTTACAATGGTTTTTAATTAGCACTTTGTTGTTTGTTACAATATGCTTGATTTACTTACAACGTACTATACTGTATCTCTAGGTACAAATTTCGAGAGTGTTTTTAAATCGATCATCAAAAACCTTGATAATGTAAACAGCAACAACGATTTGGCCATCATCTTCTTTACGGATGGCCAAGATTCCATAAGCGACTATACCAAAAAGGAACTAGAAGATGCTTTGTTAAGAACCCCTTACACAACTGAAGTTCACACAATTGGATTTACGGAAAATCACGATGCTTGTGAGTGTTTGTTTATTAGCATTTTTATTCGTAACTTTTTTGTTTACGAATGTCTTTTTTGATTTGTAGCTCTTCTTTCGTGGTTAACAAAATGTGGAAGCAAAGGAGGAAATTTCATGTACATTAAAGATTCAAGTGAAATTCCGAATATATTAAGTGTGATGATACCATTGTTGGAATTGAGAGATAGAACTCTTTATGTTAAAGTCGGAGATCAAGATCCCCTGGCCGAACAATTTGATGATCAAGGTTCCGGAACGGTTATCCTCAAAGGCAAAGTGGAGGGTGAACGAATCACAGTATTGAGACATTTGCGGAGTCACGAGAAGTACGAATTTCAACCACCACAACAAATTTCCAATAGCAGTCCAAGGGCAATACAATCAATAATCTATTACATTCAACATGAAATCCAAATTTTCACGAATGAAATAATCAATCATATCAAGCATAACGAACACGAGAGAATCCAGCGACTCTTGATTGAAGTAGAAAGATATGAAGAACAATTGAACGACATTCTGCTAACGGCTTCCAAAAAAGTATTGGAGATGCACGACGACATAATCCAGGATGCCAAATCCACCATCGGCGAGTTCAAAATCATCTTGATCAAGTTCGTAGTATCATTTTTTCTCACTTCACTTTCACCTGCATCTGCAGTATACAAATGCTAACATTTTCGAATTACCTAGGAAATCTGATGGTAGTTTGACAAATGACAAGATTGCAAATTTCAACGACTTGATATACAAGAATATCCGCGAACTGAAAAACCCCACTATCTTTAAGCCCACTACACAAGTATGAGTCTAACAATCAGCAACACCTTCTTCCTTTTCTATTGAAACTTTATTTAATCTAAAAATCGACATTGTCATTTATTAGGAAATCGAAGAAGTATCGGACAGCGAAAACACATCCGTCAGCGATGACACAGATAACACTTCGATCAGCGACGACAGATCGATTTCGTTGCTATTGGATAAAATCAGCTCCCTTGAGGCCAACATGAATCAAAAATTTGATCAATTACAATCCAGGTTAGTATAACTTGAAAAAAATCGAATGTGACTATCTTTTCAATTTATATACATAATAATAACTTTAAAATAATATAGAGTTGTAAAGGCCGAGAATGAAATAGATAATCAAGATAATCAAAAAGTCGAAGAAAAAGAAACAGCTGGTCAAGATAATCAAAAAGTCGAAGAAAAAGAAGCTCATAGTCAGGATGAACAAGTATGATTTTAACCATACTCACATTCTATATATTTATTACATTTCAACTGACCATATTACGGTTCTATTTTCCAGAAGGTCCAGAAGAACACTGAGATGGCAAGAACCCCAATTAGATGTGGATCAAAGATTGCTCTTGTTCACGTGTCCACTGGAAGATATTTGACTGCTCATAGAGGTCAACGAGGCCCAGTAGCGGTATCTATCTATCTATTTATTTATTTGTTCACATTGTTATCTACTATTTTTGTGCCAGAGAGACTAAGTTTCTTTATTATAAAAAGATCGTCAGTCAAGAACAGGACATTGACCAGGATACTGATCTCTGGACCATTACCGAAGCCAGTAATAGTAAGGGTGTGAGCATGGGACATCCCGTACATCTCAAGACCACTATTAGGCTTAAACACGAGGCAACGATGGGAAATTTACATTGTACGTCCATCAAAACAAAGACCAATTCTGGGAAAAAGAAAGGTATTTTTCTTTTTTTCTTTTTTGATTTTTTTTCAATCAATTCAAAGTATAAAAACAAATGACGATAACAATCGATTATTTTAGTGACTCTCTATTCGGGCAGCAATGCTGACGATGATTGGCGTATCCAACGATGTGAACCTAATGATAGCAACACAAATTATCTGACAAATGGTGATATCGTCTGTCTTGTACATAATTCGACCAAAACTCACGCGCTTTACTATCGCGAACCTCAGTCAGGTGACGTAAATCATGAAGTCAGCTGTTATGGAAATGGGAAGAAAAATAATAGAGTACGTATAACTCTAAAAGTTTTGGAAAAATGCTTTGATGTTTGGCATACGTACTAACCATATACTGTACCACTCTACCAATATATTAGTGGCGTGTTGAATTAATTGGTGAACCTGCACACAAATTACATTAGATATACAGCATAGAAGACATGTACGTCACCTAATTTAAAATCTAATCAATGATTAGGAATGGATGCTTATGGCATCAGCCTCGAGAAACATATGTAAAAAGATTTTATATTTTCAATAAATAATGTTCATTGCATGCAAAGGCATCCACACTGTAGTTGACTTGGCTCATATGATTTATTGTGTTAATTCGAAATTCAAATATTACACTATGCGTAAAAATTATTTCTCTTGCGATAAAAGTTTACTGTATAAATACTGTAATAATTTCTAAAAAGTAAGAATGACCTAAATACAGTATCTCTTCCTGTACAATTTTCTTCATAAATGAATTTTGTTAGAAAAGTAAACAAACTTTAAATCGTTTGAAGACAATTTTAATGCGAATTTGATAATCAAGTTCAGCTGTTGACATTTGCTGTCTTATTGGTTCACTTTAGTTCAGTTGACTATTGTCTTAAACATTTATGTTTATTGAAATCATTTTTCTACTTATCCTTTCATTTTCATTATCGCTAACTTTTTTTTTTAAAAAATTAATTAGAAATTTTTTAAATCATTAATTAATAGTATGTTTTAATAATTTTAAATTATTTATGCTTTTTAATATTTGTGCGCATACTGTCATTGTTTCTTGTTTACCTCATTTTATATGATTTTTTTTTTATGAAATAACCATCGCATTAATAATAACTTACACGTACAGTATGTTTGTGATCAAATCAATAAAGGTAATCAATCATTTGGATTTTCATAATCTTATCATCTTAAATACAGTATAATAAAATTTATTAAATTAATATTAATATTTAAAAATAATTTTATTAAAGCAATTTAAAAAAAAATAAAAGTTAAAATAAGATAATTATAAAGATAAAAGAAAGTTCAAGTTATTTATATTTATTCAAAAGGATAAAATGACTATCCTTATGTACAGTTTAAAATTGCATAATAATTCTTTTCTTGTGTATTATTAAAGATATTTCTTTATATATTGTTACGGGAAAATAGTGATCGAAAATATGCCTTAAAAATTGCATAATATAAAGATCGCTCATTACAGAGATTGCCTAATTGGATAAATGACTCT